CCCCAGAATTTCATTCTTCTGTGATTTTTTTTTATCACAATGTTTAACTTTTGAAAAGGTAATGTTGCTATTTTGAAACGGAAAATGTTCTTGTTGGGAAATTTGATTTTTGATGGGGTAAAAAAGCTTCCGTTGTTGACTGGTCAAAACTGGAGGTGCAGAAAACCTCCACAAACCAAAACAATTCTCAAAAACAGCAATCAGACACATTTTGGACACGATTCTGTCACGGCATGGACATCTCTGAAAATCGCAGAATCCCTGATCTCCATGACAGAATCGTAGCCTAATACCCCTACAAATGCCTCCAACCGGTGACTGAGCAACTGCACAAAAAGAGAAAAGTTCAATGAATGAATGCAAAAGAGAGACAAAGAGAAGCAACAGTAGAATGCCTAAAAATAGAAGCATGAAAAGGTGGCTCGAAGCAGCGCAGTGTCTGAACACACTCACGCACAAAAAGTAAGGAGCAATGACCCTAACAAAGGTAACCACCAACTTAGAAGAAAAATTCCCCCCAAACAAACTTTCACCAAAATGCCCATGTTCAATAAGAGGGCATTTCTTAACAAAAACCTTCTCGAGGGGAAAAATGTAGGTGGGATCATCCATCGGCATGAATGCACGCATCTGCTAATCCAAAATTTGGCTTCAGGCCTGCGCCTTAATTTGGATGTCCACTTTCAATTGTTTTATCACTCTCAGTAATATTTAACTCCTATACCAGATAACTTATCCAAAAGTCCCATTATTCTGCTTTCTCGGTAGGGTTTTACTTTCTGAGGCAGATTTCACAGCAAGACCTTGGACAGGGCATACATACCACTCAAATCCCACCAAAGTCCAGTCTTGAGGGCTTCAGACATGGGATGGTGAATTCCACTGGGAGAGAGTCAGTCCCAAAGCTGTGACCAGAGCCCTGAGTTTGGGCTTTCAGTTTTCACTAGCCTACAAAGCACTCCCTTTCACGGGGTGGAAAATCACGTAGTTGGGGGACTGAGCCTTATTTTCCGAAAATATTTTGAGTCATCAGCTATCTCCTTTCCTACTCACTCATATATCAGCCATTTCCCCGAAGCACAGAGCCACCCTCAATTGCCTTACTGTAAATAACTACAGAGGGGGTTGTCTGAATAACAGGAAAGGACAATCTCCAGGGTTATGGGGAACATCAGCCCAAGAACCTGGGCTTACCATAGTAGAATTCTCTGCAGTATCTTGAAGTCAAATAGGGAAATTTGTCTTGCAAATAGGACACGGTACTAATTGGGACCAGGGCCAGATCAGATGATCAAAAATTCGGATAATCTGGAGAATGGGCAAAGAGCTTTCTATCCATTATTTTAAGATGCAGAGTTGCTTTGAAACTAGCTGTAGCTTCCTGGCATACACAAATAAATAAAGAAGGGTGCTATTGTTTTAATGCTTTGTAATGATTCTGTGTGTGCGTGTTGGTTGTTCAGTTAATCTGGAGGGTCAGATAAACGGGATTCTCCTGTACGTACAACGGAATCCTTGAATGGCAAGTACCGACTGCTTCAGGGGTTTATGTCCCTTACAATTTTGTATTTTTTAAAAAAAGCCTATCCCGATACAGAAGAAAGATACGCATACTAAAAGACCAATATGACTCTAAAATCAAATGGAAATGCTACAAAGAGTGGAAACATGGACAAGCTGCTAAGGATGAGTGCATAAAAGACAAACATCTAGGGGCAACATCAGAAAGGCTAAGGCACAAAATGAGTTATACCTAGCAAAGGCCATAATATGCAATAAGACGAGGTTCTATAAATGCATTAGAAGTAAGAGAAAGATGAAGGGAAGCGTAAAGCCTCTACTTAGTGGGGAGGAAGTGCTAATAACTGACAGCATCAAGAAGGCTGAGGTGTTTAATGTCTATTTAGCTTCAGTCTTCACTAAAAAGGTTAATGGTGACCAGATATGCCTACGAAACAAAACCCACTCTGCTGTTTTTTTCTGCAATATATAGTTGTTCATCTGTCTTCACAGGGTTGGGCAGGAAAATGGCAAATTGCAATTTTCATTTGTATTATAATTTCTACAGATAATGTTCATTTTTAAGCATTTTTTAATGGTTTTAACCCATTTAATTTTTCATAGTAGCAGAAAATGTGGCAAGGGGGGCAGGCAATGGGGTGGCAGACAATTATTTAATAGATGTAGACCCTGAGAGTCAAGAAATTAATGTTTCGTAGGTGTTAAAACACAGATTGTCAACATTGCATTTCAAAATGTACAAAGTAAAGAGCCTGAAATCAAAGTATTTCTGAAGCAACACTTCTCTTACATTGCCTATCCGTACATTTCTATTAGTACTGATGGAAAAAAATTTTTTTGTCGGTTTCTGCATGTATGGTGAACTTGACATTTACCACTTAAAAACTAACCTTTCCAAGCCTAGACATAACAGCCCCAATTCTATTAGACAGAAGTAACCCAGACGTCTATAAAACAAATCATTTGCAAATAGCCACCTCCAGAAAAGCACAAGCAGATACGGACAAAATCAAAAAGCCTAAGGCAAAAAATGAGTTACACCTAGCAAGGGCCACAATACGCAATAAGAAGAGGTTCTATAAATACATTAGAAGTAAGAGAAAGATGAAGGAAAGTATAGAGCATCTACTTAATGGGGGAAAAGATCAAATAATGGATGACACAGAGAAGGCTGAGGTGTTTAATGTCTTTTTTCAGAGGAGCAGCCGTGTTAGTCTGTATTCGCAAAAAGAAAAGGAGTACTTGTGGCACCTTAGAGACTAACCAATTTATTTGAGCATGAGCTTTCGTGAGCTACAGCTCACTTTGAGCTGTAGCTCACGAAAGCTCATGCTCAAATAAATTGGTTAGTCTCTAAGGTGCCACAAGTACTCCTTTTCTTTTTGCGAATGTCTTTTTTGCTTCACTAATAAGGTTGTGACCAGTTGCTTAAGTTACCACAATTAATATTAACAAGAGGCGAGGTTCTTAGGCTCAAAAGTAGGAAAAGAACATATTAAAGGCTATTTAGATAAATTAGATTTATTCAAGTTGGCAGAGGCTGATGAATTTCACCCTAACTCTAAGGATAGTTAAGCTCTGAACAGGCTTCCAAGGGAGGCAGTGAGATCCACGTCACTGGAGGTGTTAAACAAATTCCTGTCAAGGATGGTCTGTGCAGACCTGGTGCAGCAGGGATGGAATCGATGATGACCTCTTAAAGTCCCTTTCAGCCCCACATTTCTATAATTTCTGTGATTTTCAGAAAAGAAAATCTACTTATTAAAAACAAAAAACTATTTACAGAGAGGAAACATAAGGATAGAGACAGCCTGAAAAATGAACTGAGTTTTCAGAATAGTTAAGTCAGTCAGACTTGGGTCATGATTCGGCAAAACTTTTAGGATTCTGCTTACCTTGCATTGACTTCAGGAGGGCTAACGCACATGCATAAATTTAAGCATGTACTTAATTGCATGGCTGAACTGGGACCTCAGTTCATAAGAAGACTTTAGATATAAAACCAAAATAATCACAGATCACGCAATAGCAGTCTCCTTACTATTCCCATCACAGCTACAATTATACACCACATAATTCCTAGAGCAGATGTTTCAGCAAAACATCAAACCTTGATTGAAAAATTGCCAGTGACGGAGAATCCACCATGACCCTTGGTGAATTGTTCCAGTGTTTAATTACCTTCCCTGTCAAAAATGTAGCACGTAGGCCTTATTTCCAGTCTAAATTTGTCTAGCTTCAACTTCCAGCCATTCGATCGTGTTAAGACCTTCCTCTGCAAGACTGTAGAGCCCATTAGTAAATATTTTTTCCCCCTATAGACTGTGATCAAGCCATTCCTTAACCTTCCCAATGTTTAAGCTAAATAGACTGAGCTTATGAGTTTATCACACTAAGTTCACATTCATGATGTGAAGAATTGTAACGATTAAGTCCACTGAAGTCCTACAGACTCTTAAACTGGGGGTAGATGAACTGTGCACAGATAAGCTGGAGATTTTGAAAAGCAAGGGGCCAACATTTTTAAAAATAGGAGAGACTAAAGTTAGATGCCCAAATCCTTGAAAATCTCACTGAAGCCCTTACTTTGGTACTTAATAAGCAGCCTGATGTGCATAACCGGTGAGCACTTAGCAGCAAGGACAAGGTATAATCATTGAGGATTAAATACAAAGCTAAAGTAGAAAAAACGTACAAAGAAAATGGCCTAGCTACTCACATATCAACCTTAATAAAACGTATATAAAAGTATAGGTCTAAGGATGTGTAGCTGTTTGTCTTAGCTACATGTCTGTTAAATGGTAGGGGAGAACAATTAGAAAATTATTTCCTTCTCAACAGTTGTATTGAGGGGTTTGCCCCGTTGTTGTTGGTTTTTTTTTTCAAAATCTCCCCTCAAATTCTCCTCTGGATCGACACAGAGGATGAGACATTTCAGACAAAAAGTATCTAGCCAGCCAAATGCAGACTGGAAAGTCGCTTGCAGCCTTTGCTAGGAACGATTATATATCGAGCCTAACAACATTCTGAATTTGTAGACTGGCTTTTCCCCAAGCCCCTCAGAGGCTTTAAGCCTTTTACACAGGTGGGTGTTATATTCCATTTATACAGAATAGATGAGGAACCTGAGATACAGAGAAGACCACTGGGAAAAAAGAATGGTGGATAGAACCCTGGAGTCCTGATTCCCAGCTCCCCTCAACCCACTCGACCTCAGTCCCCTCCCAGATCTGGGGATAGACCCCAAGCATCCAGACTCCCCGTCCTGCCCCCAACCCACTAGACCCCACTCCCTTCCCAGAGCTGGGATAGAACCCAGGAGTCCTGGGTCCTAGCCCCCCTCTAACCATTAATTCTCACTCCCTTGCCAGAGCTGGGAACATGGTGCACTCCATATCCAAGGCAGGAATAAATGCAGAAGTAGGAGGCAGAAATTCACACAAAAGGGACAAAGTCTCACAAAACTGAAACCGACTTACATTACTGCACCTTGTCTGACTTCAAGCTGCAAGATACTGTGAGCTGATTTCCTGCCCTCTTCTGCTGCTGACACTGTGTTTCCAGACCACATCAAATCAGATCAAATCATACACATTGTAAGGAGAATGATCACTTTAGATAAGCTATTACCAGCAGGAGAGTGGGGTGGGAGGAGGTATTTTTTCATGCTTTTTGTGCATATAATAAGATCTTCTACACTTTCCACAGCATGCATCCGATGAAGTGAGCTGTAGCTCACGAAAGCTTATGCTCAAATAAATTGGTTAGTCTCTAAGGTGCCACAAGTCCTCCTGTTCTTTTTGCGAATACAGACTAACACGGCTGTTACTCTGAAACCTATCAAATAGCACGAGTACATGTCTGCCGTTCAAGAGTAGGGGTATATCCAAGGGCCCAGTGCAGCCTGGTTTTCGGCACAGAAAACTCTGCTTGTCCTTGATTGAAAACCAAAAAACTTAGCCAGCACTGAGTTGCAGAGTATGTACTAAAATTATATATATATGTATATAAAAATAAATAAAAGGTGAGTTCCTAACCCAGGTTAAAATCGTGGTGACATGGCTTTTAACGGGGCCTTGCAGCTTGGGTTCAACCCCTGGCAGATCGATAAGCATTTTTTTGCAGTGTAGACTTTTTCTCAGCTGAATCACTTACTCCACACCCACAAGGAAAGTTTTCTCACCAAGACCCCGATCCTACAAGCTGACCCCTGCCCCCACAGGAGACCTATTGATTTAATAGATTTTCATAGCTTCCTAGAGTTTAAAGCCAGAAGGGACCATTATATGATATTTTAGTCTGACCTCCAGCACAGCACAGGGCTTCACATTTCACCCTGATTCCCTTGACTGAGCCCACCACCTCATGTTTAGCTAAAGCATCTTCCAGGCTGTGACATCTATTTTCAGTCTCTCCACTCGCTGGTTGTTTCTACACACTGCTGGCAATGGAGCCTGAGGCCGTGTGAACCAAAGAACGATTCTCCGTCCCCATTAGCCATCTTTTGTTGAAAAGAGGCCGTGATATAATCGACCCTTCCAGAATTGGATGACCTTGGGTGGAGCTAGAAGAAGACACAAAGAATTAGACACCTGGGTTTACACTGGCCAGCTAGTGTAACTCCGTCAACTCAATGCAGCCAGATCCCCAACTGGTGTCAATTGGCCGAAGCTTCACTGAAGTCAGCGGAGAACCTGGCCCATACATGTTATTCTGTCCATAGCTGTGTCTCTGTGCTTCGTTTGCAATAGTGGTTTAGGCAAATCTTGCATTTAGAGACCTGGACAAAAGTCATGTAGACAGGGATCCGGAGAGAAAATTAGCCATGACTTTGACTCTTCTGCCACCGTGTTTTATTGCAATCTAATTGCTGTTTCAGATTCAGAAGCCTCCATGTGATAATTAGGGAGGTAATTCATGGGAATGAGCAAGATGGGCAAATTTGGTGGTGCACAGGGCCCACAGGCTCCATCTAAAGCCCTGACCCAAGCACTGATGTCACCGTGCAGGGATGTAGGAATGGAATAATAGTGTGGTACTCTCTGAAGAGGGTGAACCTTAGCAAGGGCAAGGGAATTGCTCGGAAAGGCCTGAGAGAAAGACTGCCTGCAGGGCTGGCCCGGCCTGAGCCGCTGTCCCAAACCCTCCCTCCCACACAGGGCTGGCTTTGCCATTCACCCCCGCACCCTCCCCAAACCTGGGCATTTGTCTCATTGGCTCTTGCCAACTGATGATCGAGTTGGCAAGAGTCAACGGGACAAATGTCCACTTTTGCCAAAAAAGTTGGGATGGCCAGGACAGGGCTTAAAAAAAGGGATGGTCCCGGGCAAAACAAGATGTACGGTCACCTTGCTGCCTATTCTCTTCTCTCTTTTTGCCCTCTCTCCACGTTCACTTTATGTGATCACACATCCTGGTGTTCACGTGATGGGATGTTTCTTTCACTGCAATTCATCAGAGTTGTTTCTCTCTGCAGAAGACTTGTGGTCTTGTCCAGCTCTTCAAAATCTAGTAAGTAGCTCACATTTACTCAAACTTTTCCTTCTTTGTATGCTTCTGCTTCTCTCTCTGTGTTCCTCACGTTGCATTTTCATCACTTTGGGAGCAGCCTTCTCCAGATAAAAAGGCCAGTGCCGGTCTAGGCAGATGAAATTATGGCGGCGCAGGTAGATTACAGACTGTACAAGAACAAGGTGGAGAGCGAACATGCATAAGCCCCATACAAGAATAAAGAAGCCCAACCATTGAAGCCAGAGTTGAATCAGCGGCAGAAAAAATACTAGTCATTTAGGGTCAAGCCTTGCGGGAACTATGCCCCCAAACACCCACATTCACAAGCGCATTGGCGTATAGAAAGTGAGTCGTGTGTAAAAGAAGGTGGAAGACAAAAGGTGCTGCCCCTATGACACACTCGCAAATGCAGCGGCGCCGGGGCCTTGGTTTTGTGACTCAAGGGTTGAAGCTGAATGCTCTTCTCCATTCTGATATTGCGGCGCCCCTATTGTATGAACGACTCAGGGAGTGGGGAGTTCGTGAAACTGAACATCTCAAAATTATATTAAGTAGCATGCAAATGGCAATTTATTAAACGCCCGGTGATCATGTCCATCAGACATAGTAATAAATATCTACAGCGTACCTATTACAATCTTGCGAGAGACAGGGTAGGAGAGTTAATATATTTTATTGGACACAAGTTTTTGAGTGCTACGGAGCGCTTCTTCTACTCTTCAACCTCTTCAGCTCTACTTCAGGTCTTCTGCTTGAAGAAGAGCTCTGTGGTGCTTGAAATCTTGCCTCTTTCACCATCAGAAGTTGGTCCAATAAAAAATATTACCTACCCACCTTGTCTCTCTCATATCCTGGGACCAACATGGCTTCAACAACATATTACACTGAGTAATCTTGTAAGTACATAGTGTATCTGTGAACTTTATTGATTGGGGGATATGATTATTTTTTCCGGTTGGGAAAAATGGTGCATTAATCAGTTGCTCATAAGATTAGGGTTCTAACTATCCTCCATTCTAACCCTGTTAATAACTTTTTGGATTAAAATATCTAATTGGCCTAAAATATATCAAAAGAGAGTAACTTACTGATGGAAAATTAATGCTAAATCCAACAAGCCGTTGTTAAGTGCGAGGACTTTCTGGAAGAAAATGGCTGCCCTCAGAAAAATGCAAGTCATTGCTAGGCCTGAATTCTCAGAGAGAATCAATTCAGCAAAGTCTACCTTAAAAATGAAAAAGAAGAATTAAATAAACCTCGCTGGGAGAAAAAAATGTTTACAAAGGATTCAGAGTGCTATATAAATAGGCTTGGAAGAATTATATTTTATTGGTAAATAGCAATAAATGTTGATTTCTCTGCACACACGCCAACCGACAAACAACTATTGTCCTTGATAATAACTGAAATTTACAGACATGCAAAGTCAGAAAGATGTTCCTTGAGAAGGCACTGCTGTTGGATTTCAGGTTATTTCCTTTCTATATTTTGACAGGTGGTTTTTTTTGACAATTTATATTTTAACCGTCAATAAAGCTTTAACTTTTTGAATCTCAATCTCTACGGTCATTAAATACACATTGACTGATCCCCGCCCATCGTCTGATCCCTCATGAATTCCCGCTACTGTAAAAATGTAAAGTGATTAAAGTCCAATATAAGCCTAAACACATTAGAGGATTTGGGCCCTTGTACCTCATAGAATGGGGCCCCAATCCTGCATGAGCCTCCGGTATAAAATAGTGGTCCCCTCACGCCTGACCCGAAGTGCCCCCTTCCACTATCCCAGCCCTTAAAGGCACCCCCCTCAAAGAGCTCTGCTGACCCCCTCATTCTGAGCCTACAACCCCCCTTGTGTCCAGTCCCGGAGATTCTCTTGAGCAGTGTCGGGTGCTGAATATCACCTCACCTCTGAGGTGGAAGCAGTTAATAAACTAGGATCAGGGACCACAACTTCCAAAACCGACTGCTGATTTTAGGGGCTTTGAATTTGTACAATCTATTTTTAGACACCTTAGAGTGGCCTGATTGTCATACCGATCCCGCCCACTGAAAGTCAGGCACCTGGAAGTTGAGTACCCCTTTTCTGAAAATCTCTGCCAAACTCACACATCCTAACCAAGTCACCCCTGTCGTCTGTGGAAGGCAGGATGGTGGACTTCCTTGGCTTAATTTATCTGAGCTCCAAGGATTTCGTTCTGCTTCATTTTCAGGCTGGAAAAGGGGTTTTGTCCAGAATCGAAAGCTATCCTAAAGAGATCCAGATGGGCTTGATTTTCAGCAGACCACCCGGCCTACGCCCACTGAGTGTTGAAAGTCTCCTGAGAGTGAGATCTCGTTTGGAGTCTCAAGGGAAAATGACCAACGAGCTGAGAAGCCTCTTTGACAAAGTGCTGCAGGTGTTCCCTCAGGAGTGCATGGGTGTTCAGGAGAATGCCAAGGTGGTCATCCAGAGCCGCAGTGACATCTTGGAATTCATCTCCGGGAAGGGTGAATGTGTGTTTACCTTCTTCACCATCGACAGCCAGCCCCATTATAACTTGAGGAAACCAGCCAGCTTCCTCACTCAATTACGCCGTGATCCAGAACCTCTGAGCACCATGCATCTCTTACGGATGAGGAGCAATCTAGAAACCCAGGGGCAGATGACGGACGAGCTGAGAAGCTGCATGGATCTCGCTCTCAATGAGTATCTCCAAGAGCCCAAGTTTGTCCAGGAGAATGCAAGGATGGTGATCCAATCCAGAGGCAAATTGCTGGAATTTAGTTCAGGAAGGGGTGAATGTCAAATCTGTGTGTTCTTCTTTGCTAATAGAGGAGCCCAGTATGACTTAACAGCCTCGCAGCTCATAGCGGTAGCTAGAATGTTAAATAGGAGAAGAGATACTATACTCAACTTGATCCTACAGTGGATGAGACCATCAATCCCAAATTTAATACAATTAATTTGGGAGATAAATTGGCGCTGATAAAATTCAGCACCAAACCAAAATTAGAGTGGGTCATAATGCTGGGA